TGCTGTGTTCACCCAGCTCTACGCCTTGTTGTCTCAGATTCTCCAGCATCTGCAGTTCCTACTATCTCTAAAAAACTTCTCTTTCGTCTTTGTCCTGAATGGGAAACTCGTAATTCTAAAAAAAAACACTCTCAAGTTCTGGGCTCAACGACAAGAGGAATCATAGGTTCAATTTTACACAAAAATCGGCAGGTGTCATTTTAGGCTCGTTTTATGTAGTGTTTCACTCTGAGAGCTCTGGTGAGTTATCTCACACAATTCTCTCCTGTTCACCTCATTATCTATGTCCCGCAAGCTTCGATGATGCTCTGTGCGCTCTCACCAGTGATGGAGGAGTTTCTTGCTGCCAGGATCATCTGGGATTTCTGCCCCCAGCTCCATATTTAAAGTCGGTCTGTGCATCAGGCCAATCACTGCCAGCTAGGAAGAACACATCACAGCGCTTTGCGTCTGAGAGAAACAGCACAGGAATGTTTCTGAGGGCACCTCGATGACATGGGTGACAAATCATTGCAAAGAGAAACTCACATTTGTAAATACTTTGTAAATATTACTTTGCAATATGATATGTCAGTTGATTGTCGAATTAATGTCAGCCAAAAGAATCAGGCTACCCATCCTTAGCACCAGATAGTGTCAGAGCCCTGTCTCAGAAGGTGCTTCTCTTTCTCGAGTGTAGCACTCCAGCTTGTCATTGTTCATTGTGGGAGCATCACATGGAGGGAACAGTTCAAACAGTTGAAACGATGAAATTTTTACAGAACAATAAGAAAAGCAATGATTTTTTTTAAAAAAAATAAATAAAGAAAACAAGAAACAGAAGTTGCATTCACTTCCTGGAGCAAACAGGGGCGGCTTGACGTTTGAGGATCCATCCCTCTAATTGTACTGCTTCCAGCACTATTGCATTCCTATTTCCTTCCCCAGTTGAATGACTCCTGGAACAAAAGCATTCTACACGAGAGCGAAGCAGCAGGGCCAGCTGATCAGAGTGAAATTTATTACTATCAGCAGAAATTGGCCTGAACTCAACATAGTTTAGTCATGGCTTTGGTGTACAGAAAATTCGAGTCACCCTAGTCATTTGTGAATTTGCTAGTTACTCAGCTAGTGGGATGACAGATTAAGCCCATTCCTGGTCTCAGAGGAGGCAAATGGCGTCTGCTAAATATGAACTTGCTGGTGTCTGAGCAGATGGCTGACTGAGTGAATTCTTTCCTACATTCACAGCAAGTGAATGACCTCTCTCCGGGTTTTTGGTAAGGTCCTGCATGGCAGACTGACAGTTAAGAGCTCAATGGATCCATTGGAATTTGACCAATTGGATTAACTATTGGCTGAGTATCAGGAAGCAGAGGGTGATGGTTGAGGGATATTTTTCTAATTGCAAGTTTGTGTCCAGTGGAGTTCCATAGTGGTCAATATTGAGCTCTTGCTGTTTATGTTAAAAACAAATGATTTAGACTTAAATGTAAGACAGTTAGTTTGCAAATGAATCAGAAGAAACAGATGTTAATTCGTGAGGAGAACATACTTAGCTTACAGGAGGATATAGGCAGGTTGGTCAGATGGGCTGATCAGTGGTAAACTGAACGCAATCTGCAACAGTGAGAAGCAACATATTTGGACAGGATAATTGGTCACTGCATTCGACTCTGAACCAAAAGATTAAGGTTAGATGATCAACCAGGGAAGGTAGGCTATTTCTTTTTCCGATCAGCATTCTCCATAACACAGTCCGGGATGGTCAATGGGGAATTTTGCTGCAAAACAATTTCGCCTAAAAGTTGATCACCCACAGTTATCCCATGATTCTCCAAATAGACCACTTCTAATCCCTCTAAACTAATTCTGTCCCTCAGAATTACTTCCAATAGTTTCCCCAACACCAACATGAGACTGACGGCCTTGCAGTTTCTTGGTTTATTGTTTGCTCCCAACTTGAATAACAGCTCCACTTTGATGATCATTCAGTCCTCTAGTACCTTCCTGTGATTAGACGGGAATTGGATTTTTTGGCATGTGCTCCTGTTATTTGTTTATCCACATTTAAGGCTGTCAGACGGCTCAAAACCTTCTCTCTCTATGCTATTTTCTTTAAGGACCACAGCAGTATTCTGCGTGAAACCAGAGGATGCAGAACTGATCTAAGTGAATACTCTCTGTCAGTGTTCACTAGTGAGATAGACGAATCAGGGAGAATTATATGATTTAAATCAATGGGCCTTAATCTTCCCCTAATATCCTTTTGACTTTTAATCTACCTGAAAGACAACTGAGTATTATTTTAACTGGCTGCATCAATTCATGTTCTCCTTACAGCTCTCCATATGTCCCCATTAAATCCTCTATTGCATTTCCCCTGAAAGAAACTGCTTCCTGTGCACCCTGGCCAAATCACATACAGTCTTATTAAAATCCACCAGTTCAGAGCTTTGATTTGAGACCCATTCATGTCCTTTTCCAGAAAAATCCTGAATATTTTAAAAGAGTTATGATAATATCCTGCATAATCCTCCCCCACTGATGCCTCACCTACTTTTCCACCTCGTTTACGTGAAATTAATTCCAGGACCCCTTCATTCCTTGTTAGGATTTCTGCAAACTGGCTTCAAAAGCTGTGTTGGATACAGTTGGAAACTGTGAAACAGCATAAATGTATTGATATGCAGCGACATTGAGATTATTTTTAAAACCTATCCTGCAGATACACAATTGTATGACAATGTATCCTCAATATCAGCACCTTTAATAGAGCAGAGTTTAATAACATCAATGCCAATCGCCCAATGACCAAAGTATATTCCTTGGTGTGAGGAAAAGAAAGCCTTCTCCTGTGCTGGGGTATCAGCAAACAGCAAAGCCTTTTACACAAACACAACAGGTGAATGTGATTGACCCAGTATCGTTTCACTGGTGTGTTGACAGTTTGAAATTCCTTCCCACAGACAGAACAAATGAACAGTCTATCCATAGATTAAATAGGCTGTTGTATCAGCAGGTGAGTTGACTGAGTGAATGCCTCTCCCCAGTGTGAACTCGTTGGTGTTTCAGAAGGTTGGATGATTGAGTAAATCCCTTCCCACAATCTAAGCAGGAGAACGGTTTCTCCCCGGTATGTACTCGCTGGTGTATCAGCAGATTAGATGAGTGACTAAATGCTTTTCCACATTCAGAGCAGGTGATTGGTCCCTCCCCAGTGTGAACTCGCTGGCGTATCTGCACGCTAAATGATCGAGTGAATCTTTTCCCATAAGCAGAGCAGGTGAATGGTCTCTCTCCAGTGTGAATACACTGATGTTTCAAAAGTTTAGGGCGTGAGTGAATCTTTTCCCACAAAAGGAGCAGGTAAATGGTCTCTCTCCAGTATGAACTCTTGGTGTTCCAGTAGCGTAGATGAGCGACTGAATCCTTCCCCATATTGAGAACAGGTAAATGGACTCTCCCCAGTGTGAATTCGCTGGTGTTCCAGCAGATTGGCTGACTGAGCGAATGCTTTTGCACAAACGGAGCAGGTGAATGGTCTCTTTCCAATGTGTACCCGCTGGTGGATCTGGAGGGGGGATGACCGAGTGAATCCCTTCCCACAATCAGAGCAGGCGAATGTCTTCTGCCCAGTGTGACTGCGTTGGTGAGTTTCCAGCTGGGATGGGTAAAGAAATCCCTTCCCACAATCCCCACATCTCCACATTCTCTCTTCAGTGTGCCTGCTCTGGCGTTTGTACATTTCAGATGAATTTTCACAGACACTCCCACACAGAGATGATACGTGTTTCTCCACTGCGTGAATGGTGCTTTTTTCCTGCAATGTTCAAAGTCCTGAGGTAACTAGTTTATGATAGACAGAGAGACTGTCAGATCTGGATGTGGTTTCAATCAAAAGTTTCTGAATGTAAACAACCTTTCAAACAGAAACCAAATGTATTGGAAGAAACCATAAGAATACATAAGTTGTGAAACTGAGAGATGTTAATATGTTCAGTTGTGGAAATAACACTTGTAGGAAACTGTTGGACTAGCATAAAAACTGAACTCGTTCATGAATGTCCTTCAGGGAAGGGAGTGTTCGCAAAACAAAAAAGCCTGCAGAAATGTGTAGAGATGGGAGAGACAGGAACGATGCAGAGATATTTTATGGATCTACAACTCAACCCAGTTCCTGTTTTCTCCCCATACCCTTTGAAAATGTGAGATAGTCAGTAGCATTGACAGCACCTGAAATGGTGTAAGAAGCAGGGAACAATGTAACCTTGTAGACATGTTTAGTTGATCATACAAGACACTACAACATAGTTTACACTCTGAATCCAGGAAAATGAGCCTAGAGTAAACAGGCCCTTGGTAACTAGCATGGATACGATAAGGACATACCGTTCTACAATTTGCATTCCTGGATTCATGCCTTCAGCCACAGAAGTGCCAGTCGTTAACCCTTCCTATTGAATCCACTGTCACGATAGCCCTGCCACCCTTTTCTCCCTTCTGAGCAGCATAGCCACCCATACTGCCATGAACTTGACTGTTGCTGATTTCCCCGGAGGCCACCCTAATAACCCCCAACTGTATCCAAAGTGGTATATCTGTTTGTGTTGGTGATGGCCACTGGGGACTTCTGTACTTCCATCCTAAGCCTTTCACTTTATCTGATGGCCACCCATTCACTTTCTGTTTGTGTAATCCTCACCTGAGGTGTGGGTACCTCGCCAAACATACTGCCCACGACGCTCTCAGTATTCTACAATGAGTCCACTCACAGCTCCAGCTCTGAAAAGCAGTTAGTCAATAGATGCAGATGGACACACTTCCTGCGCATGCAGCCATCAGCGACACTGGAAGCATCCCTTAACTCCCACATCGACCAATAAGAGAACACTAGGGCTCTGAGGTTTCCTGTCATGACTTCTCTAAACATTAAGCTTGTTACTCCCTTTAAGAGAATTTAATTGAGCTAGGGATCTTCCTTCATTTCAAACACTTCTATTATACTCAAAACTCTTAACCTTATTTCAGCTAAATATTCTACTTTAAAAACTATCAGAAAATACTCTGCAGGTATCACTTCCCGATTAGCTGTTTGTATTGCGACCACGTTACTTCCTGAACTGCACAGACTGAACACTGTATTGAGTCTTTCACCTTGATCTTCTCCCTGTCTCAACTCACTCTCTGTTTCAGAGCTCTTAACTATAAGTCACCCCCATTGAGTCAAACAGCACTCACGGTGCAGACTTATCACTTTAATTGTCAGCTCATACTCACTGTGTGCTCAGCCTCCTGTACTGATTCAATGTAGCTCAATGGGAGATCAGGGAACAGCATCTCATCTTTCAATTCAGCACTTATATCTTCAGAATCAAGTTTCTGGATTGTTCCACTTGAAAGCCTGCTGGAACTCGAGTCCATAAGATATTTTGAAAAGAAGTTTGCAGGTATTTAAGAATGAGGAATTTATAAGTTAAAATTATGAAGTGGGTGATTAGGACTAAATATGACAATTCTTTCAAAGAGACAATGTGTTATTTAGGTAAACCTGTGCCCCTGCTCAGGCCCATATCTCCTTCCTCAGCTTCAGGGCCCAGAACCGAACACACCTCAGGAATGACCTAACCACGAATTTAAACACATTGCTGTTTTTCGATTTACAAATTTATTGGCAATATTTTCCTGCAGACAGAACAGACAAACATTTTTCCTTCCACAGATAAATGCCAGTGATATTCAGATCCTGATGACTCTACTGAATCTGTTTGAACTTGTTTTGAAATCCCGGTTTGCAAATTATTCTCATTTACTATCCTGCAAAACTAATTCACAAGAGAAAAAAAAAATGTCAGTCCAGGATAGAAATCTGGAAAAGACAAACATTTACCTTGGTTTCAGTTCGCTGATGGAATGCTCCTCTGCAAATCGCCCCGAACGCCTCCCAGGAAGAAGCATGCGCATTCGCGCTGCTGCACCTTGCCCGCAGTAAAGATGGCAGTAGTAACCCAGGTCCTATCTCCGCTTGAGGCCCACAGCCAATTTCTCGTTTGCTTCAAACGCGGGACCGGAAGTTTCTAAATCGGGTCGAGCGGTCTCATCGAGTTGGCCATACAACGTCCCAGTTCAAACCGACTTCATTTTTCTCCCGGTTTCTGCTGTATCTCCCACCTTTCCCTCAACTACCTCCCGCACTCAATCAGGCGCCAGTCACAATGGCACTGTGCCTCCATGTGTTTCTGGTCACGTGTCATCCTGCTCGCCACGCCCCTTATTCACTCCCAATGGTTGTAGGAACAGCCGCTTCCGTTTGGTAAGAGCCCCGCCCATCTTCTTCCTATTTTTCGCAACTGTGCCGTCATGCAGCCCGGCCCGATTGTGAGGTCGAAAAACAAAGTTGCTGGAAAAGCCCAGCAGGTCTGGCAGCATCTGTGAAGGGAAAAAAAACAGAGTTAACGTTTCGGGTCCGGTGACCCTTCCTCAGAACGGATTGTGAGGTGAGTGGCGGGATCCTCTCTTGTTCTGCCTTGGGATCAATTTCATCATTCCCAGTGAATTTGGCAGTATCACAGAGCACGGGATCTGTTGTCCATTTAGTCAATTGCGACTGCATTGTCTCACTCGAGAATCACTACAAATTTATCCCAACTCCCTTACCCTTTGCCAATCTCCAGCCAATGTTTCTTTAAAAGGTAAATATCCAAATCTATTTTGAGACAAACTGCTGAATCTGCATCCAGCTGCAGTTCAGTTTGTTCTAGATTCCCGGAACTGCTGAATAAAATAATCTTCACATTTTCACCCTGCATTATTTGCCAATTGTGTGAAAGCTGTATTCTGTGCTTACCAAACATTGTAAAAATGTTAGTAATTTCTCTTCCTGGCAAAGAAATATCTTGTAAATAAATCTACACCTCGATGAGATCACTGCTTAGTGTTCTCAGTTCCAAGGAGAATTATCTTTTCGTCCGCTGTCTCTCCAAAACACAGAAACGTATCATAATTTAATTTATTCATGGAGTATGGTCTTTGCTGCCCAGATCAATATCTATTGTCCATTTTTTATTTTTAACTTGGACAGAGGGGCACAGAGACGAGCAGAAATAATGAGAGACGGACAGAGAGAAAGAGAGACAGGGAGAGAAAGAACAAGAGAAAGAAAAGGAGAGAGAGATTCACTGTAACTGGCCTTTTGGAGGTGATGGAATGATTTTGTTTCTGAAAGAGAGGACACTTTCAGTTCCGAGAGTTGGACAGAGAAGGAGACAACATCACCAACACAGAGAGACAGAGAGAGAAAGAGACAGTGTATCTCTGTGTGTGAGAAAGAGAGACGGAGTGACTATATGAAAAAAGAGAGACAGAGTGTCTGTGTGTTACAGAAAGCGTTGTCTGTTTGTGTGAGAAAGAGAGTGTCTATGTCAGACACAGACTAATTGTCTGAGATAGAAAGAGAGGGAGTGTCTGTAAGAGAGACAGTGAGTAACTGTAAGAGAATCTGTGAACGAAAGCGTGAATATCTGTGTGTGAGAGAGAAAGAGAGTGTCAGTGTGTCTGAGAGAAAGAGTGTATGTGAGGAAATGTCTGTGCGTGTGTATGTGTGTTTTTGCATGTGTGCGTGTTAGAGAGAGAAAGAGTCTCCAAATACGGGAGGTTTTTAGCTGATTTTATTTCGTTAGACTTCCCATTGAACTTTTCAATGGCCAGGTTGCATATTCAGCTATCATTTATTTCTCAGTTTGTCCGAAATTAACAGGAAGAATTAGATTAAATATAATCACGCAACATTGATCCTCTGACAATGGTTGCTTCCTCAGCACTGATGTTCTGACAGTGTCTGCTACCTCATTACTGACCCTTTGACAGTGAACTCTCCCTCAGCACTGCCACTCTGATAGAGCTTGTTGCCTCGGCATTCTGATTGAGGCCTGTTGTACTCACTTGCATGGTGTTAGATCTCATAGTTTTCAATGAGTGTCCCATGAGAGGCAACCTGTATTGTGATACACACATCAGTCACAAGAGAGCAAAAAGGTACGCAGCTTCTATGTAGCTTATTTTATACAGCTTAATTTCAAAGCGCACACGCCCACATTCCCTAACCCCTTGTTTACTACTGGTCAGCAGCGCTGAATTGCCCCTTTGTAACTGAACTGCTTTATCTTTAAGGCGAAGGAAGTACTGCTGCACTCAGCAATTTCAATGTATACACTGTATTCAAATATTCAGCTGCACCATGTTGTCTGCTAATTAATTGGATGCTGACCGATCACTGAAGACGTTTTAAATTACTTATTAAACTCATTGCAGGAAATACAAAATAATGTTGATTTTTACGAATTGTTATAGTATTGTAGAGTTGTGGGCTCATAGAGATGTACAGTACAGAAAGAGACCCTTCAGGCCAGCTCATCCCTGCTAACTGGATATCCGAGATAAATCTAATTCCATTTGCTAACATTTGGCCCTGATCCCTCGAAGCTTTTCCTATTCATTTACTCATTCACATGCGTTTCAAATACTATAATCGTACCAGTCTCCATCACTTCCTCTGGCAGATCATTCTGTAAGCAGACTCTGCATGACAAAGTTGCCCCTTAGGTCACTTTTAAATCTTTTTCCTCTTACCTTCTACCTATGGCCTCCAGTTTTGGACTGCCCCACCCAGGAGAAAATACCTTGTCTATTTACCCTTATCCATGCTCGTCATGATTTCAAAAACTTCTTTAAGTTTACCCCTCAGCGTCGGAAGCTCCAAGGAACATAGTCCCGGCCTATGCAACCTCTCCCTAAAGCTCAAATGCTCCAACATTGGCGACATTCTTGTAAATCTTTTCTATACCCTTTCAAGTTTTGCAGCATCCTTTCTATAACAGGGAGACCAGAACTGCACACAGTATTCCAAAAGTGACGTCACAAATGCCATGGACAGACGCAACATGACCTCTCAAGTCCGATACACAATGAACTGACCAATAAAGGCATGCATACCAAAGGCCTTCTTCACAATCCTATCTTCTGCAACTCCACTTTCAACGAACTGTGAACTGCACTCCCAGGTCCCTTTATTCAGCAACTCTCCCCGGGATCTTACCATGAAGTGGATAAGTGCTGCCCTGATTTGCTTTCCCAAAATGCAGCACCTCATATTAATCTAAATTAAACTCTATCTGCTACTGTTCTGATCAAGATCCTGTGTACTCTTAGGTAACCTGCTTCGCTGTTCATTATACTTATAATTTCGATATCACCAGCAAACTTACGAACTATACTTACTATGTTAATATCCAAATCATTTGTTAAATGACGAAAAGCAGTGGAACCAGCACTGATCCTTGTGGCACACCGCTGGTCAAAGGCCTGCAGTCTGAAAAGGAACTCTCCATCACCACCCTCTGTCTTCTACCTTTCTGTTCAGTTCTGAATCCAAATGGATAATTCTCCTGTGTATGCCAACTGATCTAACCATGCTAATCAGCCTACCGTGAGAAAACATTTCGAATGCCATACTGAAGTCCATTCAGTTTATGTCCAACACCCTGCCCTCATCAATCCTCTTCTCTACATCTTCCGAAAAGTCAATCAAGTTAGTTAGACACGATTTCCTACACACAAAGCCATGTTGGTTATCCCTAATCAGCCCTTGCGTTTCCAAATACATGTAAATTCTGTCCCTCAGGATTCCCTCCAATAACTTGCGCATCACCCACGTCCGGCTCAGCTGTGCATCGTTACCTGGCTTTTCCTTACCACCTTCAGTTACATTGTAAGATTGGGAACACTTGCTTTATCCCATCTCCTGCCTTCACGTCTGAATTTTACATAAATAGATCCCTCCTGATGTCAGCCCATTTCAGAAGTGTTCGTAAAGTTCAAGAAAGGTGGTTGATGCGAGACGTTGTAATTCGGCTGATTCCACGTCTATGTTGTAATCCGTCGATTCTCACTGCTCTTGGGGGTCAGTCATGTGCACACAATACACCCCTGTCCCTGCTGAGGACTGTCATGCCAGCCTTGCCACCTCTAAGGAGACGTTCTGTGCAATTGCCCATTCTACCACTCTGGGTGCATTCAAAGGAATGGGTCTTAAGGGAATGCCTCTTTCTAGTGGATGGGTATGTGGGAGCATACTGAACAACTGGAAGCATTAGACTGTTTGGCATAGGTATAGGACGTATACAGAAAAGTGTTTAAATGTAATTCCCTTTTCCTTCGTCTCCCTTCTGGTACATGGGATTGACGAGTTACTACTAAACAAATACTCAAAATACAAACAATTACTAATACAGTAAACTTTCACTTTTAGGATCAAACTTCAAGTTCAGTCACTCGTTTCTCGTTTAACGTGTGATGTATGTAATCAAGCTTTCTTCGTTTGGTCTTTTACTGCTGCTTGGGTGGTGAGCAACACTTGGTAGGGTCCTTTCCACGTGGTTCGCAATGGTTCCTTCTGTATTTTGTTGATGTAGACCCAAGTTCCCGGAACGATATCGTGCCCTCCCTCTCGGGGATGACCCCAATACACCGATACTTGTTGCAATACCGACCTGATAATATTGGTTAGGTCTTAATAATATTTCAAAAGTGCATCACTCATTAAGTGGCAATTTTTTTTTCGCAAATCATTTGTTCCTGGCAGTGACACGGGCCTTTCCGTTATAACTTCAAATGGACTCACACCGTAGTTCTATTAGGGTTGCCCTGTTACTGCAAAGGACCGCTGGTAGTGCCTTGATCCAGAGTGCTCCCTCCTGATGATATTTGACAAGGTCGTTGTTTCAGAGTTCGATTTGTTCATCCCACTTGCCCCGATGACTATGAGCGATGGGGCAGATTTAATGTTTAGTAATCTACGAACTTCCTGACAACAAGTGCAGTGAAGTTAGTTCCTTGGTCAGTGTTTATACTGCTTGGAACTCCCTACTGGGGAAAGTAATCCTTGCACAAAACTGTGATTGGCTGTGGCCCGTTCGATTAGAGCAGCTTACAGCCATCCAGCGAATTTGTCGACACCAACCAGAGCATCTGTTTATCCTGAAATTTTGCGAGAGAGATATTAGTCGACCTATAAGTACTGGAGTGGTCCCGCAGGAGCGGGAGGCCTCAGTTGTGGCGTTGTTATGATGGGTTATGAAGTTATTCTTGTGGCAGGTCACACAACGACCTGATAGCCGCTGGGTATGATTTTAAAGCCTCTACGCCACCAGCTCTTTTGCAATCATACCACCGTCTGT